ACTGAAGATGTTGATTCCTACTATATCTCCATTCAAGAACTTCTACGTGGTATAGAATCAGGAGATCACCAGTACCCTGAAACGGCCAAGACCCAAATTTTCCTTAATGGTTTGCATCCTGAATTCATTCTTGCGGTTGCCTCTTCCACCCCTAATACTTTACAAGCAGCTTATGAAAGGGCTAAAGCCTATGAAAGTGCTTGTAAGCAAAACCTTCTGTACTTTCCTGTCCCTCTTAGTGCTCTCTATTCTGCCCAGTCCATCCCTTTAATATCTACCGAGATTCAACCTTCACCATTGACTTCAGAATCTGCCATTGACAAGTTGACTAAGGCAGTTAACAAAATATTAGATCAGTTGCAGGAAAGACACCTATCTGCTTTGGGAAATCAAAGTCAGCCTGTGTGTTATAGGTATGGCCGGGTAGGCTATATTAGTAGAAACTGTTGGGTTGCTAATCTCCCACCTAACCCTCCTTATAATTCTGCCCCTTCAAATCCACCCTTAAATCTGAACTTGGCTCAAGTCCCAGCAAATCCTTCTTCTAATCCGCCTATACCTAACCCTATAAACCCAGTTATAAACGACATTCCTGAGAATCGTCAGCAAGAAGCCTTTCAAACCTTGTTAGCACTGGCTGCTAGTCTAAATCCCTCTAATAGCCAAAACAACCAACATACTTACGTTAGTATCCCTGTTGAAGATGTCTCTTTATTTGCTATTAGCAAACAGGATCCTCAACGTTCCAATGGTAACTCCCAGGCTAGTAAGCGTAGAAAAGAAGGGTTAGAAGAAGGAGAACCTGAAGAAGAAACACTTGATCAACTCTTGGAGAAGGAAGTTAATAGAGAAGATGAAGTAGACCCACCTCCAGAAGAACCCGTATTACAGCCTGTTGGTCCTCCTAAGATTGCTGTTACAAAATCTAAATGTACTTCTATGGTTTGTTGAAAGGTCCAAGAGAATGAGCTTTCTCAAATTGCATTATTAGTCCCCCCATATTCGATTGTTGCTGATATTCAGGATAAACCCACCCATATTATGTATAGGCAACTTTTCCGTATAGCCTCTTCACTGCGGATAGACTTAAATCGAAGTCTACAAAAGAAAAAGACCCTTATTAAACGAAGGATGAAAAATAATGTTAGTATTAGTTCTGGGAAAAAATCTACCACCCTTATTGTGACGCCAAGATCCTGGGTGAAACTATCCCACTAATTGTTGATAGCGGATTCTCCGGAAGCGTTGTATCATCACATCTTCTCCGAGATTTAGGCATTAAAGTCGAGCGACCCTCTACCATGAACATGATTAATGTCTATGGTGAAAGTAAGAGAGCCTTGGGGAAAATATCTAACTTCTCATTTAATGTTGGAGGAGTGGATATCCTCATCGATATTGTTGTTACTGACGCTGGATCGTATCAAGCCATTGTCGCAATGACTGGTTATCCAAAGCCCAAGCCAAAATAGACTGGGTCATTTCCGAAATGATATTTACCTGGAAGGGTAAGGAAATAACCCTTCCAGTCGAATTTAAAAGGCTCACACCAGAACCCCTTGAAAAGAACCACACTACCACCATACGTAATATCAATGAAGAGTCAGAGGAAGAAGCCGATGATAGCAATGAGGATAGTGATGAAGAATATGAAGAGGAGGAGTTGGAAGATAGAATATATGGACTTTCTGAAATTAAAAACATAGAGACATTATATCACTTACCTTCGTCTGATCGTTCTGATCCATCAATTTTAGACTTTTCTGACCATAACCCTTGTCCACTTCCTACTTCAGCTTTTGTTAGTGAAGCATCCACCAGGTCAGATGATCTTAGTTCAACCTCCACTTCATTATCGACCTTCCTCCAAATCAAAAATTATAAACGTAGAGAGATCTATGTTCCTCTACCTAATTTAAGTAACCTTCCTCCACTAGTGTATTATGACTCCAGGTTGGATAGTTCGAGCAAAGATGAGTAGTATTTGGCACAGGACTTTGCTACTCTAAAGGTTGAGGTGGATGACTTTGACTCTGATGCTAATGACGTAATCGACGAAGCTAGGAGATTGTCAAAGTTAAAAAAAGAAAACAATAAGCCCTTAGATGTCATACGTTTGTATAATATAGCTGGAAATGCTTACCTTCAAGAAGACAGTATTAAACCAGACCCCCGTGGATATATTACTTACGTCTAAATAAGTAAAGCCAAAAGTCGACCTATTAGTGACATCTTCAACTATTACTATGAAAATAAAGAGGATCCATACCAAATCGGGAGGTTAGAGCCCTACAACATTTTTGACTCCAAAGGTTTTTAGGTGATAGCCTGGACCTCTTTATGTGGAAAAAGTGACCATTAGAACAAACTAACATCGTCAAACATCGAATTGACACTGCAACCACCCTCACAATTAAACAATATCCCTATCGACATTCTTCGCTGAAAAAAATATTATCAAGAACAAAATTTCCCACATGATATCTGAAGGAATAATCTGTTCTTGTTCAAGCCCCTGGATCTCCTCCATTGTACTTGTTCCTAAAGAAGGTGAAAGTACCCGATTTTGTGTCGATTATCGCAAATTAAACTCTATTACTGTCAAAGACAATTACCCTCTTCCTTGAATTGATGACCTTTTAGATGCTCTTTCTGGGTCATGTTGGTATAGCTCTCTCGATCTTGCTAGTAGTTACTGGCAGGTCGAGGTCAAAGAAATCAATAGACCAAAAACCGCTTTCACAACCCTATTTGGAATCTTCAAATTTATTGTCATACCCTTTGGCTTGGCAAATGCCCCCGCCACCTTCCAACGTTTAATGGATAACATTTTTCAGGACCTTATTGGAAAATGTGTAGTCATCTATTTAGATGATATCAATGTATATTCCAAAACCTTCGAAGATCATTTAATTCACCTAGCAGAAGTTTTTAAATGATTAAAAACTGCTGGGTTAAAATTAAAGCCCATTAAGTGTTATTTCGCCAAACAGAAGTTGAAATTTTTATGTCACGTGATTAGCCAAACGGGTATAGCCACTGATCCTAAAAAAATCGAGGCAGTTAAAAATTTTTCTGTTTCTCGAAATCTTTGCCAACTCCAAGGCTTCTTAGGATTAGCCGCTTATTATCGAAAATTCGTCAAGGGCTTCACCACCATCGCTGCTCCGTTAAACCAACTCTTGTGGACTATTGACCAACAATGAGCCTTCGAGGAATTAAAAACTAAATTAATAACCACCCCTGTACTTGCCTACCCTGATTTCTCCAAAACCTTTATTCTTTTTACCAATGCTTCCGATCTAGCCTTTGGAGCAATTCTTGCTCAATATGATGAAGATCATCGCGAAAATGTTATTTCTTATGCAAGTCGAAGTCTTATACCCGCTGAGAAAAATTACTCTATTAGCGAAAAGGAGTATTTGGCAGTCATTTGGGCTGTTAGATATTTCTGGTCTTATCTTCATGGGAACCGTTTTATCTTATATACTGACTATTCCGCCCTTAAGTCCTTGTTTGTGATAAAGCTTCCTCAAAATCGTCTAGCCAGATGGGTTATGACTCTAATGGAATATTCGTTCACCACTATCCATAAGCCTAGAAGATATCACTCCAACATTGATAGCTTATCTCGAATCTAAATAAACATTTTTTTAGTAATAAAAATAAAAGAAAATTAGAGAAAAAAAAAAAAACCCTCTCAAATTAAATCCGTTAATCCAGTCTAGATTACGGTGTCTGGCATATATTTCCTACTGAGATAATTTAAATAAATCCAATAGGAAAAAAATAATAATAATAATAATAAATATGGAATTGGAACTTTACAATGCTTACCTCAAGCTCCTTCAAGACGGCATCGTTCCTTCTGGTTATACCCGAAAGCAGATTAAAGATCTAAAACATAAGACCTGACATTATTTGGTAATTGACAGACTACTATACAAGACCAATTCTCAAGATCCTCACGTCTATCAAGGGTCTTGAAGAAAGACGAGATTCCAGCAATTCTCTTCAGTATGCATGACGATCCACTAGCTAGCCATTTTGGGTTTCAAGCAACTTAACAAAGAATCGCCGCCCGTTATTATTGGCCTCAAATAGGCAATGATATTAGAGAATATATACGAACGTGTGATGGTGTTAAAAGAAAAAGAAGCCCCATATCTGAGAACCCCTGTATCCAATCAAGATCGGTCAGCCTTTTAATCGTATTGGAATCGATATCATAGGTCCTCTTCCTATAACCAAAAAGGGCAATCGATATATTGTTGTAGCCACTGAGTACCTCACGAAGTGGCCTGAAGCCTGCCCTATTAAAAGAGCCGATGCAGCAACTATTGCCGATTTTATTTTTAAAGATCTAATTTGTAGGCACGGTTGTCCAAAAGAACTATTATCCGACCAAGGATCCCATTTTTGTAATCAAGTAGTCGAAGTCCTCTGTAAAAAGATGAAAATCGCCCATCATACGTCTACAGCATACCACCCTCAGACTAATGGTCTAGTCGAGCAATTCAATCGTACTTTTTGCAGGGTACTAAATAAGTGCATAAATCAATTTGAACTATCATGGGATGAATATGTAATACCAGCCCTTTTTGCCTATCGTACTACCCAGAACCACACTATGGGATATAAACCTTTTTTCTTGTTGTATAGACGTAGTACCGTTTTTCTAATTGAAACTGACCTCGTGACCATTCCATTTAAACCTGGTATTGAAGAAGAACTAGAAAGTTTAATATATAGACGTATAGAGAACATATATGGAGAATTAACCATG